AGAGAGAGAGAGAGAGAGAGAGAGAGAGAGAGAGAGAGAGAGAGAGAAGTAGCCAACCAACCAAACATGTGCGCGCGCGCGCGCGTAATCAAACAGTCTGTGTGGTATGAAATATGAGAATGAGGTGGATTATAAGGTTTTTCTAATGATTAAAACACATATCGAGATTACCAAAAATACGATTTAACCGGACTATTACTAATAAAGGCCACTCAATCCGATTGAAGAACACATTTTGGTGTTGTTTTTTTTTTCAACGTCAAACCCTTATAATTGATTATATATTCCGAAAGCGTGCATTGCACTTTTTCCATAGTTGAACGGAAAGAGAGGGAAAAAAACGCTGGGAGTCGAATGAATGAAAATCGATCAGACAAAAATTCATATACGAAGTATGCACGAATTAATGTTTAATTTATTACAATGGCAAAGCGAAGCACCGCTCCAAAAGTCAGCCTCATATGTATGTACGTACATGATATGTATGGCGCGTTTGTGTGGAGGTCAATACCATCGAAATAAATAAAATAATAATAACAATAAAATGCACACGTATTCAACGACGACAACAACAGCAGCATCAACAACAACAAAAAGACTCGTTGTTTGTGCTCTCGCGTGTGCAACGATTGAATGGATGATTTGCAGCCGAATCATTCAAAAGTTATTATATATGAATATCACTAAAGTCAAATTCATTCATAGGAAATTTATCGTTCCGAAAATCATAAAAAAAAATTCAAAAAATATGAAATTCAAGCAAACCGAATGAATGCAAGCGATAATAGGACGATTAATAAAAAATACCCATTTTGAAGCGAAGAATAAAAAAAATTGTTATGGAATGTAAAAAAAAATATTTGAAACCATTGCACAGATATTCGTATGAGTGACGGTATGAGTTGATTGAGCACCGAATGAATCACAGGAATGATGAGTTGAGGAATGCTGCTGCTATTGGATGGAAGTACTTGGTTAATTATTTTATATTTGCATATAAACAGAAATATATAATGAAGGAGTTAAACTCAACTGGAATGACGTACACGAACATAGAGAGTGACTAAATGGAAGTGAATGATTGAGCATTAGCAATTAAACAAAATGAACATATGACAATAACATTTTATTATATTGAACACTAAAAATTAAAATAAAACAACAACAACAACAAAAAACATTGATATTAGATAATAATATATTACAAACAAGAAAAACATCTAAATAAAGAAAAAAAAATTATCCCATTTTCATTTAAATCACCATGGTTTTTCATTCTCCTTTTTTTCAATGCAGATTTATAGAGAGTTTTCGCAATTGATCTGTTTGCATCAGATTCGCGAAATTGAAAATTAAACAGGTAAGTTTTTCAAATGTGGAATTACTTGTGTATGCTTCCAATCATTAAAAGTGCTTGTTAACAAAATTCATCTCGCTGTGCTGAATGGAAGATAATTGGCATTCAATGTATGCCGAACCGTTGGATTCATGATGCACTGATTGATGCAACTCACTAAATTTGTGTATTTCTGTGGTTAATTCATTAGTGAAATAAAAACCGCTGCTCTTCATTCAATCCGCGCAGCTGCCGCTTACCGTATAAAAAGAGACAATGTTTAAAGTCTGATTACGTTTGATTCGATGCGCTTGAGAGCTTCGAAAACAATAATCTATCTCTCGGTCGAAATATATTTCATATTCGAGTCCCGGCCAATATTTCATTTTGTGTGTCTGAAATGCATTTTTTATCCATCTTTTACCGCAAACGCTGTTTTTTCGTTCGTCCTTCTCTCTCTCTCTCTCTCTTTCTCCCATCCATTCCAATTTTATCGTAGAAATGTGATAGAAACCGAGCCGAGAGAGTTGTGTAGAAGGCTGGTTGGGAAAATTGTAAATAATGCTCTATCTCGGTGTGATTGAATGCCATGGACATAATTTCTATTCAAAAGCACTTTTTATGGGGCCGCAAGAAAATTCATAAAATTCTATGGCTTTGATAATAATAAGTTGGAAAGCAAGCGAAAAAGAACATCTCGCTCTCTCTCTCTCGCCCGCTCGTTCGCTATCCATGGGTTCCATATAATATATGCATTTAGCAGTGCCGACATTTGTGCTGATTTTTGAATCACGTCACACTTTGAAATAATCCGATTTTTATATATTGGTTATTGCTTTATGTGTGCCGACGCACAACGAAAAAAAAGAAGCTATATTCCGTTTTATCAAGTGTGCCACAAATAAAGTTTGCCATTCCTTCGGATGACGTACACGCGCGCACGCTAGAGAATGAGCATCGGCATAAAATGGCATATAAAAAGAAACCAAAGCGCCACAATCCCAACATGATTTTGCGGTTGTAGCATCGAATGTGAATAGTAAATCATCCTTATTTGTGTGTGTTGGTGCGGCCAACGAAATGGAAATGGTTAGACGGTTTTCTTTTGTGATCAAATGGATTCAATCGGTTTAGATAAAATCATTAGTTGCGAACCGAGCTACTGCTTTTGCCTACAGCTCACTCTTTATCCACTCTTGATTTCTCGCTCTTTCTGCCGATTTATTAAAAGCGTCAATATGAATTTTGACATCATAAAAAGATATTTGCTTTTCAATTATTGACACTTCAATCATTTCGACGTCGTCGTTTTTTTCTCTCTTTGGCAACTATCTAAAATGAAGTCGATTGTACAAATGAAATTCGCTTCAAATCAAATATTCGAATCAATTTTTCCAGTTATATGAAATGATATCCGATTGGCACATTTGATTTGATTCGTGAATTATTATTTTTTCTCTCCGTCGAACGGAAATTATCTAAATGCGTGAGTAATTTTCTGAACTATTACGCGCCTAAATACGGCTTTTATCCCCTGTTATAGTTAATAAGCCTTTAAACTCTGCTCCGCCTCACATTTCGATGCGTGATTTTCGTTGCGAAATGCTGTAATAAACCTAATAAACCCCCTTATAAACAACACACAACCAACGCACTTCGTCGTTTGACGCTGTGTATATTGTTGTTGACTCCCTTCACTTGCCAAAACATAATCACTCATTCGGCTGATAGTACAAATAGCAAAACATATATCTTTCTAATCTGTGTTTAATTGAAGAGATTTGCAAAGCTTCGATAATTAATTTCGGATGTTTTCTCCATGCACTTTTGCCATTCATTATAACTGAATCATTCAGTGAAGAGTGCTGAATTCTCCCTTTGTCTGTCACTCTCTCACTGCCTACTCATGATATTCACAATGAATTCCAACCATTTGCCCGCCAAATCTCTACGGAACAACGGAGAAATGATGCAAACATATACGTCAGCCATTTAGGAGCAATCGATTTAAATGGAGCACCAATAAAATTACAGTGCAACTGGGGAATTTTATTGGGGATGTTAACATATACATCGTTTTATGAGCCTCGAAGGCTGAGCGTTCGGAAGCAAGAAACATATTTTCATCCTGCAACCAATTTGGTTTTTGATTCTTTCAAAGTTTTTCTTCAAGTTCTTTGTGGTTTAAATTTAATTTTGAACAAACAGATTTTTGATTTCAATGCATTTTCTGATACAATTTTGTTTTCAACGTTGTCAGCAATTCTTGCATATCAAATTGCTCATACAAAATCTAACCTTTAAAAGGCTGGTCAATTCAAAACAGAAGAAATCTGAATCAAACAAACTAGATGATACAATGTTTTGTAGCAAAACCCAGCACAAAAAAAGTTAAAAAAAAATTCAAATCCAAAAATAGACTTTTTAAGGTCGTATCCTAAGCTGCTTTCCACTTAAGTGCCTCAAAAATCCATCACAATGAGCCGTTTAGTTTAATTAACACATACGTGGAATATTCGTGACTTAAAACCACTTTAGAGTCGACGTAAGTATCAGCAACTTCTTGAGATTAATCGTACATTTTCGCGTTGAATGTCACAACAAATTTCATTTCAAATATCCTACGCCATGGAAATGATGATGTTGAGCCATGTGAATGATATAAACGTTTCACCAAATGATATGTATTGGATTTGATGTGGTAATTAGATAGAATTCAAAGTCAAGATGCATACTTGATTAACAAGCTTTAAACATATGCTGCGTGATGAAACGATATGCTCCAAATTGCTTAGTGCTCGCACACACATACAGAGACACATCAAATTACCTCTTGACTAATTGGAATGTTGTGAGGTGAAGTTATCATATGCTTCTCCCTCTCTCTGTCTCAAATTGATTTAGTAGATTGGAAGTTCAAACATTAATTAAATTGTATTAAAGTGTTTTACTTTCAGTGCCATTGTATTTTATGGCCATCATCAATGCAAAGTAGCATTGCTATTCATAAAATTTGACAATAATCCACCAGGCTTTGGATGGATGCGATTTTTTTCAAGCACTATTTCGATGATAAAGATGAAGATTTTGGCTCAGAAGGCTTGACTTCAATGGTGAACGTTTCGGTTTTAGTGCAGAAATGTTAAACGTACAACAATGTTGTGCATCACAATTCCAAGAATCTATTTGAATTAGTTAATGTATGCATTGTATAGCACAAATCGAAATGCCTAACGCATTTCAGACAGTGTTGATGAACCCAGTTCAAAACCCAAAACAATGTATAACAGTTAGGTAAATAAATTTGCTATGATTAGAGACGGAATTAATGCACACTCAACATTGCCGTATGCATCACAACAATCGCATCCAATTCGAATCTTGATAAATATTTGCGACGATTATTTACCAAATCAAATTCATTATACGTTGATTTGGCAATGTGATCTCTATTTTTCTTCTTTGAACCACTTTTTTTTTTGCTCTCGAAGTCGGAATACAATTTAAGGTACTCGACGGAAATTTGCGTCTTAGGTAAGAATTTGTTTATTTGCCACAATTACCGCTAATTATTACCGCAGCATCTGATTCTGTTCCCGTTCGTCGGTGCTGAATGTGGTTGGGGATGCGTCACAGTCATGTGCGGTATGTCGTTTAGATTAATTAAATCAAATAATCAAATAAAATGTGTTCAATTGAACGAAAACAGCCATCTTTGAGGTGCCTTGGGAACGCACATGATTTAAACAAATCGAGTTAAACAAATTGGCATATCCAGTCGATTTTCGTCGTATTTCGTAAAATTGAGAGCAATTGCGAAAAAGAAAAAGAACAATACCATTTCCCGTGAGCATAATCAAAAAATAAATAATTTTATTGAATTTTCGTCTGGTAAAATGCGAACAAAAAGCGAAACAAACAACCAAATTGCGTTATCATTCGGTTTTGGTGTGTGGCAGAATGCGAAACAAGCGCATCATGTCATGAATTATAATTTATTTAATGAAACGTTCAACGAACAAGCAAAAAGAAGCGGCAGAGACAGGGAGGAAGGGAGGAAGGGAGGTAGAGAGAAAAAAAATGTAGAGAAATTCCATCTCAACTTGCAAAATATTTTCGGAATAATTAAAAATTTTGCGCGTAGCTTTTGACTCATCTCTTCCTCTGAATCTCTCTCTCTCTCTCGTTCTTTCGCGCGCGCGTTTTTATCTCATATTTTTCATGCCCTTCTCCGTTTTTTTCCCGGGCTTCCTATTTTGCTAGTTACTTTGTGTGTCGGATGCTATGTACATTTGTGTGCAGTTCGGCAGCCGGGCTACAGGCTATATCTTCACATTTTCGGTGCGTTCGTGTGGTACAGAATGCAACATAATTATTGTTTGGGCACATTTAAATCCATCTTTTGAAATGCACCGAGCACCCTCATTCACCATCTACGCTACATACATGGAAACAATAAAAAAGCAAACTATTTTCCTGCTGTTGCTGCTGCTGCTGCTAGTTGCTGTAATATCATTATTGTTGTGCGCGCAAATAGCAAATAAAGCATGCCACCCAAAAACGAAACAGATGTAAAAATGAAAACTGAATTGTTTCAATTCCAACACAAATATTTTCTGTGCTTTTGCAAACGGTCGACGCTTCGCTTCGGCTTTTTTTCGTCGTCATCTTCTGTCGCTGTTGAATGCTATATTCTTGGTTAGTCTTTTACATTTTTGGTGTGGATATGCTCATTTCTTTTCGCATCTCTTCACTCGCTCACCAAGCGAGACTTGTGTGCAACTTGGGTCACAATTCCATCCACAAACTCCATCGAAAATGTTTTTATACTGAAATATGTGCAGACATTTAGCAATTATTGTTTATGAAAATTGAGAATGTTTTGGGGAATTTTTTTCCAACATTCAAACGCACGATTCAAACATATGTTTTAAACCATTTTTCCAAGCATTTAAATGGTGCAAACTACATGCATCGTCTTCTTTTTTTTTATTGCAATTGAATTTGTAACGACTATTGAAATTCGTCATTGTAGGTTATGTACATGCATAGCAAATAAAAAGAATAACCAACAGAATTGGTTGAATTATAACTCGATTTTGCGTTTAAAGGAGTAACGACAAACTAATGATATTTGATTCCTCTTTGAACTTTTATTCACTCCAATTTACAGGACTTTCACACTCTTCGAATTTAACTGCATACTTAACAATGTTTAGTGAAAATTGAATTTTCTAAAATTTCCACTGGAAATTCAGTATTTACAATTTTTGGGAATTTTTTTTTGCAAATGAATGACGAACATTTAGCACTGAACTTCCTTTCGCATTAATTCCAAGTACATTATACATCTTGAAGCATCGTCATCATCCTTTTAAGACCTTTATGGAAGATTTTTTTTTGTTATTTTCTCATGTTCATTTTTAAAAAATGTTGTGAGTTACAAGTTATGGCTTACCATAAATGATAGCAATGAAAAAACATGTTTGCACTGGTACAGCTTTAATAGTCGTACTCATATTGTAAACGATCAAAATTTTAACCACTAACTTATTATCTGAAATATAGCAACGTTTTTCGAATCAATCTTGAGTATGAGTATTTTTTTCCACAGAACAAATTACCAAATTCTTGTGCATAATCAAGTGGGATTTTTCCCACGTTGTCTTTGATAGTTTTATCAGCACCGTTCTTAAGTAAGTACATGACAGAAATGGGAAAACCTAAATGACAATGAATTTAGTGATCGATCAACATTTGACTACTTTATTTTCTTTACCGGCTGCTGAAGAAGAATGAAGGCGTGTGATACCATACTTAGGGTCCTTGGTATTAATCAGTGATTTATTGAGACTTTTAAGGTCCATTAGGTTCTCATCTAAATAATGAATGAATTATTTTCGATTACTAGCTTTTAATTTCAATGTAAATTTCAAATTGTTCTTATTTACCGTCCAAAATGAGTCTTTTCTTTAGAATATCCTGCATTTGCTGTTTGAAACTATTGTTAAACACATTTTTAATTATTATCGATTTTAGATCGAAAAAATTGATTAATTAAGTTGAAGCTCATCCGCGGCTGCAACTAAGCTGTCTTGCGAAATCTTCATTTAAAAAAAATGGTTTATGATGCCGAAAATTGTGGAAGAAAAAAACAAATCTTTCTTCTTCTTACCTTGTATATCTCTCATCGGCCGACAAACAACCTGAACAACCGAAAGAGAACGGAATCGATTTTTATTAAAAGTGTTAAAACCGCACAAATATGTTTCACATTTTCTAAGTAGTTCAGAAGGCTTTTGGAATGTGTGAATTTGTGAATATTACCTCCACTTGCACAAAGGCAAACAACTAGCACCGCAAGAAACTTCATTTTTGCAGCAAACTTGATTTCGATCAATATGCGTCAACAAGTGTTGAATTACAAATGAATGAAAACTAAGGCGCGTAACCGTTTTCATACATTCTTTTTATCGTCCCCCTATATGACTTACGCAAAAATGATTGTTATTTCCGACGAATATCTAGCTGATGGGGACAAATAATTTTTTTTTCTCATTAGTTCTATTTTTGTAAACTTGAATCATTGATATTGTCGGTTTTTTTTTTCATTCGATAAGAGTTCTCAGCTATCTGAAAACATATAACGCTCTCAGATTTCATATTGTTTGCAAAATTCATAACTCGAATGCAATTTCTTTTCTCCGAATATATATAGTCATGACTTCAACGAATTCAAATTTGAAAAAAAGTAACAAGGAGACAAATAGATTATAAAACAGCTTAAAGTATTGTGTATCACATCGCGGCTCTTTATTGACTACAAAGAAGTCATGTTCAATGAAATAAAATTAAAAGTCTTTGGTTTTAACTCAAAAAATTTACTTTTTAATTCCAAAAACGTTATCGAATGCATTTCGAGACGTGTGACGTCTCATCATCAACAAAGCGAAGAACTGGTACAGTAAGACACAACTTGAATATTTTCATATATATATCCAAGAAGTTTCGCGATACCGCTGGATTAATCAAAACAGAACGAACTGTTTATATTTTGCTGACTTTATGTGGATAAATTAAAACGTATTTTTTATTTATTTTAAAAAGATTATGTTGTACCATACGATTCAGAGAGTCCTATCAGAGCCTCACTAAATAAAAGTCCAAATAATTTGATATTGAAATAAAAATGTAATGTGTTCTCTCTAAAAAAGGATTTATTTCCCAAATACCGCTTAATATTTTTATTTGCGATTAAGTTTTAATCATCAAGATTTTGATATGAATGAATAATAGCAAAAAGTCCTCTTAACTTAACTTAGAAGAAGTCTTAAGATGGTTGAATAGAATTGAATCATTTGATATTCAAATACTCATTGCGGTTAAATTATGTTCACATTTAAAAAATCATTTGTCTCAGAAATACCATTCTCTTGAAAAATTACAATATTCCGAGAAAAAAAATTAACGCCAATTTATTTTTAAAGAAATCATACTCATATGAAAGTAATTGGAATTTGTGATTAAGTTTATCGAGATTTTGGCCGTGATTTGATAAGGGAGGAAATTCTGATTAAAACTTGTTTGAATCATCCGAGTTTCAACTTACTTACAAGAGAGAAAAAAATGTAATCTTAAAAAGGACGAATTTCTACAAAACTGCAATAATTCACACTGGAATGTGCCCATAACATACGTTGACGTTTCACTGGGAATAACAATGAATTATAACTCAAGTTGTCTATTTTATTCGAGGGTATCAATTTTAGCCAGTCAATATCTAGCCAACATGTCCAAAATCAGTCGACTGACTACTCAGCCGAAGAATCTCCACACAGGAAACAATTAGATATCTTTTTATTTGCCACTTCATTTTATTTCGAATCATCATATATCATTCTCATATTTTAATTATTTTTGTGTGAATTACATTCAATAAATACCAAACATTCACTATTATATGTGAACAAATTAAAATTTTGCATTAAAAAAACAATACTCCGTAAGCCTTATAGCCATTTGGCAACAGCAGTTTTCGCGAAATAAATCTTCTAATTTATGTCCTAATAGCTCTGAAAATATCTTTCAAGAATATGGTACAGGAGAGTTACTTTTCTGTAGTAATAGTTTTCTTTCATGAAATATGTTCGAAAATGTGGAGCTTCAGTTTCGATGGCAAATTCAATCAGAACTAAGAATTTGTGAAGTTGATTCAAACGAATTCTTAAAGGCAATTGAGACTTTGACAGCGACAATAAAAAACCGACCAGTTGAACAAAGCGACATTACACCAGTGCTCAACTTTCCATAAATTCCATACCAATGAGTGAGTGGAGTGTAATCAAAACATTTTGAAAGTTGTCGTCACTCCTCAATGGCAGCATGATTGAATTTATTCACAAACTCAATACCCGATTCAATTTATTTATAAAGTTTCGTTGTGCTCAAGCACGAAAAGTTTATCTGCATTTTTTTCTTACGGTTGATCTATCATTGCTACTGCACTGGCCAATTGGTGTTTTTAAATCTTGCTTTCAAATTCATATCGTATCGTGTGCAGAAAACACAAACAGAAAACTTTTGCTCTTTGTTCGAGGCAGGGAATAAAGGGAGAGAGAGAGAAAAAACTGTCACTTCATTTGAAGAGATGAAGCACAATACCCTTGCTTACTGTATATCTGTTGGAATTATTAACCTTTGAGTGATCCATTACATTTATTGAGTCGATGTGGTTGCAAACTGTTAACATGTGCTATTAAACTTTCTCCATACAGATTCAATCATCGCAGTACATTTGAGTGGAAGTTTTTTTTCTCAAAAATCTGACATCGATGATAAGTTTTAACAAAGTTTATTTGTGGTTTGGCACAGCCGGGCTGGACACAAGTTCGTACTCATGCTGTCAAAGAAAACAATTCAATTTATATTTTTGAATAAAATAATTATATTTTGCAACTGTAGCAAAACATATCGGCAGTCGCACGAATCATAAAAGACTCTTCAGTAAATAAATTTAAGAGCAATTCATTTGGAACGAGAAAACTGTAACAAACGTTCTGTCAAATAAGTCAAACAAGTTAAACAAAATGCAGAAAAAGCATACTCACTTCCGATTGAGAATCGCTTTAAATTTCTCTGTCTATTTCACGTGAGTTACAGTTCAAAAAGGAAGCATCTCTCAGTCAAAATGTACCAAAATGTAAAAATTTCGCAAAATTAAGATCGAATAAATAGTCTTACCTCCGTAAGACGAACTTTTCCGCACCGTTTTCATAGCGTTCAGCTTTTATTCAACAAAAAAAAAACAACAGTACGTTCATGTATTTTATGGAAAATTGCATTATGATTCCGAAAATCTTGATGTTGGGTATTCAAATGAAATGAAACGTCTGATTGTCTTTATTGTCGTCTGAATACTGCTTGAATTCAACTTCTTATTTTCTACGCAGTTTCTGGCTTAAGATTTTCCTCTCTTTCAAAAATGCAAAATAATCAAGTATTGAAAAAACTGGATTTTAATCGAAGAACTGCAAATCAGTCAAATATTTGGAGAATGAACTTTGATTTTAATTAAATCAAAAAATGTGGACGGAAATAATAAGCTATCTCGACAAAATGTTTAATAAGCAAGTTGAATGAACTGATTTTTTTGTTTCTTTTTTGATGAAATTAGACAAAAGTTACCAAACCGAAATTAATTGGTCATTATTGCGATGCAACACTTGAAAACAAGTATCCAAAAACTTAGACAAAAACAAAAATGTATGTTTTATTGTGGAAACAGCTGTAGTTCATTTGTTTCGTATATTCTTTTGATGTGGTTTCGTAGTTCGCTGGTCTTTTTTAAATTGTCTGTTTCGTGCTGATTGATTTTTAGATGGTATATTGCGGGGTTGTGTCCCAAAATGATGGTTGTGGCTTGTGGCGTATGTAATCGAGAAAATGCCACAGGAACATCCATCTGGTTGCAACGTTGCCGGTTCGATGAATTGATACTGTGCTCCGGGGTACAGGTGAGTGAGGATGTTTCGTTGATATACGTGCAATCTTTTGCCATGATTGCCCTCCCCGTGTAGACTGTATAGTGTATAGTGAACTGTGGTGTAATGGCCAAGAAAGCTGGCCTGGCCGCTGTATATTATTTGCAGAACGTCTCGTTCGGCTAGAAGTCGTTTGTATCGCTCTTGTTTTTGTCCATAGCAGACTGGATGCATGTTGAATGTTATGGTTCTGTTTGCGTTCACCAAATTTATAATGAACATATCGATTGGCAAATCATTTAAGAATTCTGTTCTGTTTGATTTGTGATTGATTCAAGATCTGTATTCTTTGTAGTTTCACACAAGTCTCCGATTTCGTAGTAAAATCTCTTCCAACTCGGGAAAATCCACATTGTTGAGAATAAATGAGACTTCAGAGGCGCTATCACATTCGCTATCAGAATCACTATTCAATATCGATTGGATACGAAAAAAAGGTGGGTTAGCGGGTGCTAGGTTGTTCCTGGCCCCTATTATTTTGATGAAATAAATCGGGTGGGCATGATAAAACCCACCTGGGTAGCATATTTTGGGTACCTGCCGAACAAAAGTTCGATTTTTTGAAGGTTTTTCATAGGCTAGGTATCCTAGGCTACATCTGGGGTTGCTGGAAATTTAATGGTTTCCAAGTCTAACGAAGCACAAACGTTTGGTTCTTGCAGAATTTCGTTTCCTATTCTGGTATTTGAGCAATCGTGCTAACAAATTTTTGCGTACAGCGTACAGGGTACGACACACCCACATTAACATAGCAAAATAACCACTGTATCATGCTTTTTGATGTCGAAAATGGATAGAAAAATAGTTTTTCGGGGTACCTAGGTTTTGGAGTGATTACAATACTTTTACTCACGACATGGGCGTGCGAAAAAGTAAAATGTCACAAGATCAAAGGTAAACATCGACCACAAAGTCAAAGCCATTGAAAAATACAGAGAAGGGAAAAAAGCGGCATACCATATGCGAATATTCAATTGGATTTAAATTTTCTATAAAATATGTTGACATTTAACACAATCATTTGATTTTCATATCTCATTGAATGTGTAAATAGGACGAGGCAAGTGTGTGTGTGTGTTTGAGTACCATTTTGCATGGTTCATGCACGTATTATTTGGTAAATATTTATTCATATTTTCAACGACGTCGAGACGTCGACACACACACACCCGCTCCGCATTTGTGGCATGAGTTTGCCAACGTAAGCTAGAGAGAGAGAGAGCAAGCCGACAATGCAACAATTGCTGTTTTTTATGTAAATATAAGCGTTACCTCAAAAAGCCATAGATGACTTGATAAGTTGATAAGTTTTCACTTTACATCGAAGTCGGTGTGTACACTTTTTGTGCTTCGAGAGGTTCATGGCAGCCACATACACTCACATGGTGAAAATGCTGGCAAAAAAAGTGGAGAGAGAAAGTGAAAACAAACACCG